ACAGCACCAAGGAGTGCATCAAAACCCCCACAACCCCAGCCACATGCTGCAAGTGCGGAAGCTCTCACCCGGCCAACTATAGCCAGTGACCTTCACTGCTTGCATTCCTCAAAAAACGCACCGTCTCCCAAAACACCCCCATACCTGCAGACAAAACACCACTAACCACCTACCTCACTCTCCGCAGCATGCCTCCACCAGCAATACCCACACTACCCCAGCAAAACCTACCCACCTCAACTCCCAGAAGAACATACGCCAATGTTACCTCCCAAAACAATCAAACTTCCCAACCAGACCTCTCCAACCTATTCGCCAAGGCACAAGCAATAAATTAAATCCTAGACATTAACAGTATGGCCGCAGTCCTAGATTTCCTTTACACTAAAGTTCAAAAGCTACAAGCTGCAGTTGCTGAACTTATAAATGGTTAACTTACCCACCAAAATACTCCTCTGGAATGCAACCAGTATCCTTAACAAAACTTCCGAGCTACAAATATTCGTAGAACACCATCAAATTCAAATAGCCTTAATCACCGAAACTTGGCTGAAACCCACTGACGCCATCCGCCTTCCCCGATATAACATAATCAGGAATAATCAACTCATGCCACATGGAGGAGTAGCAACCATCATCCACCAAAACCTCAAATTTGAGACTCTCCCCCCAACCTTTCCTGAACAGTGTAGAGGGCATATTCATTAAACTCTCCACCAACCCAAAAATCACTCTCGGAGCAGCCTATCTCCCTCCAAACAAACGTTTCTTCCAGCACGACCTCAACATCCTAAACTCACATAACCAAAAATTGACCATCGGGGGTGATTTCAATGCCAAGCACACCACCTAAAACAACACAACCATAAATAGCAACGGCAAAACACTATACACACACATGTCCAAAAACTCCTATCACATAGCCAGCAGTGACACTTACTTCCACAAACAACCTCATGCTAGACCATCCAATATAGACATATTTCTAACCAACTCGTCACACTACTCAGAATGTCATACAATCCATGACCTCCCCTCTAACCACCTCCCAATAATATTCCATCACACCAATAACTACACCCAATTTACCAACTGCGCCCTCTCCATCACTGACTGGCACCTATGCCGCTCCCAGGGGAACAGGTACCCCATTAATCCTCACCTAAATACCACTCACGACAAAGACAGAGAAATCACCAAGATTCAAAAAACAATCAAACAGAACTACAAAAGAGCAACCACCACCACACACGCCTACCATAGAACAATCAAACCGGGCACAGAACTCTTAAATCTCATTAAGCTGCGCAACAGGTACAAGCGCAAATATCAAAATTCAGCCAACCCTTTACACAGACACCTCCGAAACTCCCTTACCAACTAAATACCATCCAAAATCCAAGAACTAAAGAATACCTCCTGGCACCTCAAACTCTCCAAAATAGCAGCCAATCCCAACATGCTCTGGACTACCTACAAAACCCTCAAACAAACCAAACACACCATCCCACCGCTTACCGAGGGCAACACCACAGCCTACACCAATACTGACAAGACCGAACTCCTTGCCAATGCAATCCACCTCCTTCCTATCCCCCCCAACAATTCTCCCATAGAATGCGATGCTGAACAGCTTGTCAGCATACTAACCAGCACCAACACCACACCACCAAACCCATCGTTCATTACCCCAACTTATCCATAGCTACATCAGAAACCTAAAAAATAAAAAATCTCCGGGTCCTGACAAAATTACAGTCAGCCAACTCATGCACCTCCCTCACAGAATGATCCTCCAGCTCTACTATATCTACAGGCAATCGTATCTTCTAGCATATTTCCCCGCTACCTGGAAAACAGCACATATCATACCCTTTCCCAAACCCAAGAAATCCCGCCTAAATCCAAATAACTATCAGCTTACTAAGAATACTTGGTAAAATCTTGGAAAACATAGTACTCTCACAAGTCATCACACATCTCCACTCCAACAACACCATTATACATGAACAATTTGGCTTCCGAGCCAAACATTCCACCATCCAACAAGCATTAAGGCTCCAGGAGGGCATTGCCCTGAAGGTGAACAAGAACCGTTCGATGGTCCTAGTGCTCCTAGACCTCCAAAAGGCCTTCGACACCGTCTGGCACAGTGGCCTCCACCTTAAACTCCACCAAATTAATCTCAACACACATCTAATTAAAATAGTTTACAGCTACTTCGCTGTCGAGTACATTACAGTCTCACACAGCGGCTCCCACTCCTCTCCCAGACTACTACATACTGGGGTACCACAGAGATCAGTCCTGGGACCAGTCCTATTCAATATATTCATCAACGACATTCCCAAAAATCCCAACACCAAACTAGCCCTCTACGCCGACAACACCGCAGTATACTCCTCCTCGTGAAAAATAAACCAGGCAATCAAATACACTCAAAACCACCTCGATCACATCCTACGATTCACTTCCACTTGGAAGCTGACAATAAACCCCACAAAAACAGAAGCTACTATCTTCACTCCCAAAAGACTCCACAACCCCGACACTCTCACAATAGATAACCACCCCATTAACTAGTCCACTAAAGTTAAATATCTGGGCATCTGGTTCGACAGCAAACTAAAATGGCAATACAACTCCAAAGATAGAGCTTGCAAAGACATCGGAGTACTCCGCACACTATACCCACTTCTAGCACGAAATAGTCCACTTCCCACAGACTTAAAAATCCAGCTCTACAAAACCTGCATCCGCCCCATCTTCACGTACGGCACTCCAGTATGGTGCACCGCAGCAACATCACACATATCCAAAATCCAAATTGTACAAAACAAATACCTCCGCATCATACTAAACAAAACGCGCTATCACACAATCGCTTCGTTGCATGTGAAAACAAAAATCGAGTATATGCGCGAACATGTCATGAAGCTGGCCGCCACAGCTCAAGTTACTAACTCCCAGCATCCAAACACCCCAGTAGCGACACTACGGAATTATGACCCCGAAGGTATATCATTAAACATACGAATACAAACTCCCACACTAATCATCAACTAACCATCCACAGTACCGCACTCATCGCATGATGCATATAAACGAGGTTTTTGAAACTTTTCCCTCGAGCCCTAACCCAAGGAAAACCACAATAACACACCCTCATAAACATTACAGACACTAACAAACATTTTAAGTGCAGGTTATAGGGTTCCAGCCCAGGGTACTGCAGAAGAAACATGAGAACGAGTTAATAAAAAAAAAAAAAGAAACATGATCGGCAGTCACTATCCGACTACCTCAGAGATAAGCTCCTCAGTGGCGGCTCCTACGCGGTTGTGCCAAACTCTTGGAAAACTACCTTTGTACCAGTTGGGTACACTCGTAAGGACATCGGAACTCGTCGTGGCCGGAGCCACCCCCTGAGTAGTACGGTATTGCGGCACCTACGCGGAGCGTCGCCACCTACTCTCAGGCCCTCGCCCTCCGCCAGACGTCAACGAGCATTCATTGCCGACGGATCTACCGCCGGACACGACCCTACCCGACTACAATTTCAGGTAGGCATGCCTAAACACAAATGTGGGCCTAATGTGGAAATGATGGGGTACGCCTAAATTGCGGCAAGCCTAATTGTTATCTCATTAGGCCGTAATCCGGAAAAAATGATGTACGCCTACGTTGGGCATTCCTAACATTTGCCATACGGGGCGCAAATGGGGATGGCCGAGCGCAGGCCTACGTTGGGCATTCCTCCTAAAACATTTGCCTCTCAAACTATTGCAGTTCAGCTTCTCGCAGTGTCAGACGTACGCAAGCTAGCGTGTAGAGGTTAGGTTGCCGTAAGAGAGTTTTTACGATTATTTATATATAATTATTGGAATTCCTCTGCGATGTCGGATGATATGCGAGATCTGAAAACTCATGAACTCACACGTCTCAGAGTTCAACGATTTCGTAAGCGGCGTAAATTGAGTGATCAGCAATGCCCAGAATTTATAAATTCTGAAGCAGATACGATAGTGATGTCCAAAAACAGTGGATCAAGAATCTATGAAGAACGTGAGAGTGTAAATTCAGAAAATTTTGAGTCGGATGTTGCAGAAGTCTCGGAAGTCAATCGAAATATACCACAGATAATTAATGATGACATTGAGTCATCAGAGGAAGACGAGACAAGAGAGGCTGCAGGACATAACAGTAGAGATGAACATACAGAGAATACAAGCGAAGAGGCTGCAGAGAACGTTCAAGAGATTTGTGGCTTTAATGACATAGAAGAGTTTCGTTAATGGGCTCTCATGGATCCAACAATACCACATACTCGGTTGGAAGTATTGATGAACATATTAAGGACACATTCTTATCCTAATTTACCTAAAACAGCCAAAACATTTCTCGGTACAACATCCATCAATTATACCATCGAAAGCTTTAATGGCATCGATGATGAGTTTGTGTATTTTGGGATAAGTAAAGTTCTTGAAAAATGTGTAAATCCAGAGATCCATAAAAGTAACGATATACCATTGATGTTTAACATTGATGGTTTACCATTATTTAAATCCAGCAGAAAACAGTTTTGGCCAATCTTGTGTAAAATTTTTCATCATCCTGATGTTTACCAACCCTTTCCTGTGGCCATATATTGCGGAAATACAAAGCCAACCAATCTTGAACGATATTTGGAGCAATTTATAAATGAAATTAACGATCTGAAACGTACTGGTATCGCGATAGATAATAGAGCATTTACTATATCCATCAAAGCTTTTATATGTGACAGACCGGCACGTTCGGTTGTGAAATGTATTAAAGGTCACGCAGGATACTGGGCCCGTGAGAGATGTACGATACGTGGCAAAAGATACGAAAACCGGATAATTTATCCATTGGTAAATACTGAAAAAAGAACTGATTTGTCATTTAGAAATCAAACTAATACACAACATCATTTGGGAATATCTCCTTTACTTCGCTTATATCCGAACATTGATTTGATCAACCAATTTGTATTAGACTTCATGCACTTGCTGTATTTGGGAATTATGAAAAAAACTATTACACTATTGGATAGATGGAAATGTGAAAAAGGTGAAGCTAACTGGTCCTGCTAAGATGCAATTATCAAATTTACTACAAAAAATAAAAGTACCTGCTGAATTTCAACGAACGACTAGATCACTAACAGAGTTTCATAAATTCAAAGCCACTGAATACCGATTTTTGTTGTTATATGCAGGACCTGTTGTCTTTAAAAAAAATTTACGAACTGACGTCTATAGACATTTATTACTCTTTCATACTGGTAGCAGAATATTATCGTCTAAAGAATTAGCCGTGGATAAATGCGAATCAGCTAGATTGTATTTGAAGAAATTTGTGACGAAAGCGCCATTTATATATAACAAAGAATTTGTGGTTGGAATTGTCCATAATCTAATCCATCTTGCAGATGATGTTGAAAATATGAACTGTTCTCTGTCTAATATTTCTAGTTTTCCATTTGAAAACACTCTAGGAAGAATGAAACGACTTATTCACAATGGAAATAAGCCTCTCTCCCAATTATGCCGTCGATGGAATGAAATCTCTCATAGTTGGAATGAAAAAGCGGATATTCCACCTACAATCCAAATTACTAGACAATTAATATCAAAAGAATTAGAGAGGAAAATACCAATTAAAAGAGTTCAGTATAAAGAGGCGCTTTTATCCACTACATTTCCGAACAATACAGTTTTATTGAATAGTAATGAAATCGTACAAGTGTGTAGTATGTGGATATCCCCAAACGATGACGTAAATTATATCGAAATTACAGGAAAGATATTAAGGAAAAGAAAGGCACTTTATTCGTATCCTTGTAATTCTCACCATCTCCAAATGTGGAATGTCAGCGGTAGAATTACGGATAATATAATATTTAAAATTACCGATATTAAAAAAAAAATGGTCCTATTTGATTTCAGCGATAGTGTTGGAGAAAAAATTTTAGTAATGCCTCTACTTCATATGTGAAGTACGTGCTAAGCGACCCGATCGACGCACCGGCAACCCCGGAGACATACAGGGTGTCACACATTAGCGGGGACACCCTGTATTATTGCGTCACGGCATCGTGAGCTTCGGCCGGGTTTTGTTTTGTTTCCAACGTAAACAAACTGAACTAAGCGGCTGTTCGTTCTTCGCTCTCATTTATATTAATTGTGCGTCGTCGAGATGAGTGAGGAGTCATCAAAAGATACAACTAAAAGGAAGATTACAGGACATGGAAAGAAAGACGAAAACAATTCATCCAGTAAAGGCGGGAAGCGACAAAAAGTTACACCACCAATTTCGGATAATTTCGAAGATGACAGTAATGATGAGTCATCAATTATCGATACAAATGAAAGGAAAATTACGGCACATGGGAAGAAAGGCAAAAACAATTCAACCAGTGAAGGCGGGAAGAGACAGAAAATTATTACACCACCAATTTCGGAAAGCTCAGAGAGTGATCCTGACTGCAATTTTAAAATGGGCGAATTACCAGTAACTGAAAAAATGCCTTTGGTAACAACTCAACCTCAACAATCATCGTGTTCGTCATGTACCGCATTGCAGGACCAAATGAAAAATTCATTGAAAGGCAATTATGATAAACTGTTAGATAAATCGAAATGATTGAAAGCAACAAATTTCTCGTCCGTTCAACAATACTTTTACGTAATTTTTACAACCATAAAATTTATTGTAGATTTAAACTGCACCGGAGAGAAGCAATATCAAATGTTATTAACACGAATGAGCCAACTGGGTAGCCAAGTGGTTGAGCTCAAACTGGCGATCCAGCAATTAGAAAAAACAACAGTAGTGAACTGTGATGTAAATTCTGATTTTGAACAGAATTGGAAATTATTGCTTATTATAAAAACTGCTTAGTATAAAAACAGATCTAGATTTTCGCCAAAAATTGGTAAACTTTTATATTAAATTGTTCTATTTTTCCGTCTTTATATATTTATCTATTACGTATGTAAAACAAGAATTATAATTCCATCATAACATTTTTTGCAGGCACAAAAATTCATAAATCTTTTCAACAAACGAGCAACAATCGCCCGAAATGCGGGCGAGATACTGAGATTCTGCTTGACACGAGATCTTGCCTTGAAAGGGTATAGCCGAATAAGGGGGTCAAATGTGCCCCCAAACCGAATGGAACGAGCCACGGGTCATTCGATAGCAAAAAAAAAATAACCCCTGTGTGCAAATTTTTAACTTGAAATCTCGACCGTGGGGGTAGTAATGGGGTGAAAACGAAAATCATGTTTTTGAATTATTTCTCTTGACCTATTGAGTAAAAAAATGTAAAAAAATTCAGAGACATTTCGGGTACCGGGGCACATATTTTGAGAGATTTTCAGATTTTTTGATTGAAGAACCAGGTAGTGAAAAATAAAAAACAGCAAAAAATGCCGAAAAATGCCGATTACGTATTGAAGGAGGCCCGGAACTACTTTTATACTTTTACAGTAAACAGGTATTACTATTACTATTATTCTCAATTTTTTTCAGATTTTTCATTTTGGTGCGCCGCAGTGAAAAAAAATAAAAACCGAGTTTTTCCTCGTTTTCTGCGTATTAGAGTAACTTACACGTTGAATTTTTATGCATCCTTCAATATATAAGTGTTTTGTAGACTGTTTAATGTTTCTACACTAAGCAGAATTACATAACAATTGAAACAAATAAAATAAAGCCAACCATTGGGTGTATATATCCTAAAAAATCAACGATATTTTCAACGGCGTCGATGGCGCAGCGTTAGAGTGTCCGACTGCTGAACCGCTGGAAGTTTTTTTACCGTAGGTTCGAGTCTCTCTTCTGGACTTAGTATTTTTTTTTCTTCATTATTTTTTTTTTCAAATTCTAACTATATAACAATGCTTTATATTTATTTATAAATGTTCTGATAGCATTTTACAAATATTTTAACCTGAAATATGTATAAATATAGTCTTGGAGTGTTTTTTGCGTTTTTATTTTTTTTGTCAACCACGATTATTGTTTAACATCTCTTACACTGAAATTAATGTGAAATGTTAGTTTTCAAATCTCTTACCTTTGACTATTGTGAATGGATCGGAGCAGAAGATTGTATATTGGCTTACTATTACTTCTTCTCGCCCTTCGATCAAGCAGATCTTTCCTTCTCGTTCTCTTTCTTTGATAAATATGAATGTTTGCTGCGGCTTTAGTATCTAACGTAGACATGTAAGGGCCATTCCACGCCAAATCTATTAACCCACTCTCTGCCAATGATACTTTTTTCTAATAAACCCATTTTTAAGTACCAGTTTGATCGTTTCATGCTTATTTTTGAATGAAGTATCATTGCTCGATGGAAACCACGGGGAAAAATGATTAATTGTCCTACCTGCGTTACGAAGGAAATAAAGGTTCGTTGGGTGAGGGCCCAGACCGTTCAGGTCAATGGGTGATTGTCGCGTTCGGGTTTCACAATGTATTTTTTAATTACTCAGTTCAAGCTACTGTATGCGATGGGATTTATACATAATTACTTGGCATGGTCCGTAGAGGTTGGTCCTACAAGTGTTTTCCATTATCTTTAAAACCAGCAGTAAGGAAAGGATAATAACCCTTACATGTCTACGTTAGATACTAAAGCCGCAGCAAACATTCATATTTATCAAAGAAAGAGAACGAGAAGGAAAGATCTGCTTGATCGAAGGGCGAGAAGAAGTAATAGTAAGCCAATATACAATCTTCTGCTCCGATCCATTCACAATAGTCAAAGGTAAGAGATTTGAAAACTAACATTTCACATTAATTTCAGTGTAAGAGATGTTTAAACAATAATCGTGGTTGACAAAAAAAATAAAAACGCAAAAAACACTCCAAGACTATATTTATACATATTTCAGGTTAAAATATTTGTAAAATGCTATCAGAACATTTATAAATAAATATAAAGCATTGTTATATAGTTAGAATTTGAAAAAAAAAATAATGAAGAAAAAAAAATAATAAGTCCAGAAGAGAGACTCGAACCTACGGTAAAAAAACTTCCAGCGGTTCAGCAGTCGGACACTCTAACGCTGCGCCATCGACGCCGTTGAAAATATCGTTGATTTTCTAGGATATATGCGCTCAACGGTTGGCTTTATTTTATTTGTTTCAATTGTTATGTAATTCTGCTTAGTGTAGAAACATTAAACAGTCTACAAAACACTTATATATTGAAGGATGCATAAAAATTCAACGTGTAAGTTACTCTAATACGCAGAAAATGAGGAAAAACTCGGTTTTTATTTTTTTTCACTGCGGCGCACCAAAATGAAAAATCTGAAAAAAATTGAGAGTAATAGTAATAGTAATACCTGTTTACTGTAAAAGTATAAAAGTAGTTCCGGGCCTCCTTCAATACGTAATCGGCATTTTTCGGCATTTTTTGCTGTTTTTTATTTTTCACTACCTGGTTCTTCAATCAAAAAATCTGAAAATCTCCCAAAGTATGTGCCCCGGTACCCGAAATGTCTCTGAATTTTTTTACATTTTTTTACTCAATAGGTCAAGAGAAATAATTCAAAAACATGATTTTCGTTTTCACCCCATTACTACCCCCACGGTCGAGATTTCAAGTTAAAAATTTGCACACAGGGGTTATTTTTTTTTTTGCTATCGAATGACCCGTGGCTCGTTCCATTCGGTTTGGGGGCACATTTGACCCCCTTATTCGGCTATACCCTTTAACCCCGTGAAACCATCCGAAGGAAAATTATTCATTTTCGTGAATACAAATCTTTATAATGTTGTCAAAGGTATTTTTCTATTTACCATTTATAAGATTTGTATTAATTGAATTATGAAAAAATCTAATCAAATTATTCTTTTATTCCAGCATCGCTGCTATCAACTTTTTCGTCAACTGAAAATGCTTTGAGCGAAAGCAATTTCAGAAAAGTTTTGTCAACGGTTTTACATCATTCTAGAGATTGGGAAGGAGGGCGAGTTAAACGCCAGAAAAAATCCGAGAGACGCACGAAGATACACCCTTACCTCAAGATTGATGTTCATTTTCACACTATATTCGAACTTTCAATGTCATTCCCTTCTGGGTCATTCCATGCCAAATCGACCACATTTTTCCCTCGATGTCTGGGATTTTGTTCAAACCAGAATTATATACAGGGTGTTCGGCTACCTCTAACAAAAATTTTAATGAGCGATAGTAGAGGCCAAAATAAGACGAAAATCAAGAATACTAATTTGTTGATGGAAGCTTCGTTAAAAAGTTATTAACAATTAAATTCAAAAATTTCAAATCGTTCTGGAAAAATTATTTTCGGTTGCGGGGGTCAACTACAATCATTTTTGGTGAGTACACATACCTCCGAAATCCTATCTACTTTCGAGAAAAAAAATCGAGTAGGTGCTGAAATTTTTCGGCGAAAAAAAATTTTTCAAATCGTTCTAAAAAAATTATTTTCGGTTGCGGGGATCAATTACAATCATTTTTTATCATTACACATAACTCCGAAATCGTACGCACTTTCGAGAAAAAAATTCCTTACTGAAAATCCAATTAGGTGCCTAAATTTTTCAACGGAGAAAAAAAATTGCAAATCGTTGTGGAAAAATTATTTTCGGTTGCGGGGGTCAATTGCAATCAGTTTTTGTCATTAGACATAACCACGAAATCCTGCCCACTTTCGAGAAAAAAAATAGAGAAGGTGTGAAATTATTCGAGAAAATTAAACAATTGCAAATCGTTGTGGAAAAATTATTTTCGGTTGTAGGGTTCAATTACAGTCATTTTTGGTGAATAGACATACCCCCGAAATCTTGCGCATTTTCGAGAAAAAAATTCAGTAAGGGCGGCACTTTAAACGTTAATAACTTTTTAACGAAGCTTCCATCAACAAATTGGTATTCTTGATTTTTGTCTTATTTTGGCCTCTACTATCGCTCATTAAAATTGTTGCTAGAGGTGGCCGAACACCCTGTATATGTTGTAGCCCTC